GGGGGTCACTGGGAGTTACTGGTTTGGGCTCTGGGGGTCACTGGGAGTCACTGGTTTATACTGGGAGTCACTGGGAGTTACTGGGTGGTCACTGGTTTATACTGGGAGTTACTGGGAGGTCACTAGAGGGGTCACTGGTTTATACTGGGAGTTACTGGGAGGGACTGGGAGTTACTGGTTTGGGGTTTGGGGGGTTACTGGGAGTCACTGGAAGTCACTAGGGGGGGTCACTGGTTTATACTGGGAATCATTGGGAGTCACTGGGGGGTCACTGGTTTATACTGGGAGTCACTGGAGGGGTCACTGGTTTATACTGGGAGTCACTGGGTGGGTCACTGGTTTATACTGGGAGTCACTGCAAGTCACTGGGGGGTCACTGATTTATACTGGGAGTCACTGGGGGTCACTGGGGTGGTCACTGGTTTATACTTGTTTATACTGGGAGTCACTGGGGGGTCACTGGTCTATACTGGTTTATACTGGGAGTGACTGGGAGTCACTGGTCTATACTGGTTTAGTCACTGGGAGTTACTGGGAGGGTCACTGGTTTATACTGGTTTATACTGGGAGTCACTGGGGGTTCACTGGGAGTCACTGGGGGCACTGGTCTATACTGGTTTATACTGGAAGTGACTGAGGGTCACTGGTTTATACTGGTTTATACTGGGGTTACTGGGGGTCACTCACCCTTCCTCCCCTCTTTTGGGAATCTTCGTCTTCCTCTTCTTCTTCCTCGAGGCTCCTCCCCTCCTGGGAAGAGGGCGGAGCAAGAACCTCATTAAAAAGGGAGGCGGGGCCTGACAGGGGGTGTGGTCACGAAGCCCCGCCCCCTCTCACCTGATTGGCCGCCAGGAGGCGGGGAAGGCCCGAAATGGGTGAGGTCTCCAGGTCCCCCGGGCCCCGCCCGCGGCCACCCGGCCAAGCCCACTGCCCTCTGGGCGCGGAGGCCTCAGCTGTCCGAACTCCTCCAAGCGCAGCCTAAAATGGGGGTTAAACTGAGCTTAAAGTGACCCAAAATGAGGGGAAATCGACCCAAAATTGAGATTAAATTGCCCCAGAAGTGACCCCAAAATTCAGCTGAAATTGCCTTAAAAACGACCCCAAAACTGAGCTGAAATTGACCCAAAATGAGCTGAAATTGACCCAAAATTGAGATTAAATTGACCCAAAATTGAGATTAAAATGGCCCTGAAAGTGACCCTAAAATTGGGCTTAAATTGACTCAAAATTGAGATTAAATTGTCCCAAAATTGAGCTGAAATTGTCCCAAAAATGAGATTAAATTGCCCCAAAAGTGACCCCAAAACTGAGCTTAAATTGACCTAATATGAGCTGAAATTACCCCAAAAGTGACCCTAAAACTGAGCTGAAATTGACCCAAAATGAGCTGAAATTGACCCAAAATGAGCTGAAATCGCCCCAAAATTGAGATTAAATTGTCCCAAAATTGAGATTAAATTGCCCTAAAAGTGACCCTAAAATTCAGCTGAAATTGACCCAAAATGAGCTGAAATTGACCCAAAATTGAGATTAAAATGTCCCAAAAGTGACCCCAAAACTGAGCTGAAATTGACCCAAAACGACCCAAAAACTGAGCTTAAATTGATCCAAAAGTGACCCCAAAACTGAGCTTAAATTGATCCAAAAATGACCCCAAAACTGAGCTTAAATTGATCCAAAAATGACCCCAAAACTGAGCTTAAACTGATCCAAAAATGACCCCAAAACTGAGCTTAAATTGATCCAAAAGTGACCCCAAAACTGAGCTTAAACTGATCCAAAAGTGACCCCAAAATTCAGCTTAAAGTGACCCAAAATTGAGATTAAATTGCCCCAAAATTGAGATTATACTGCCCCAAAAGTGACCCCAAAACTGAGCTTAAATTGACCCAAAATGAGCTGAGATCACACCAAAATTGAGATTAAATCGCTCCAAAAGTGACCCCAAAATTCAGCTTAAATTGACCCAAAATTAGCTGAAATTACCTCAAAAGTGACCACAAAACTGAGCTGAAATCGCCCCAAAATTGAGATTAAATAACCCCAAAAGTGACCCCAAAATTCACCTGAAATTGACCCAAAATGAGCTGAAATTACCCCAAAAGTGACCCCACAACTGAGCTTAAATTGACCCAAAAAATGACCCCAAAACTGAGCTTAAATTGCCCCAAAAACGACCCCAAAACTGAGTTTAAATTGCCCCAAAAATGACCCCAAAACTGAGCTGAAAATGACCCCAAAATGAGCTGAAATTGTCCCAAAATTGAGATTAAAATGTCCCAAAAGTGACCCCAAAACTGATCTGAAAGTGACCCCAAAATGGGCTAAAATCGCCCCAAAATTGAGATTAAATCTCCCCAAAAGTGTCCTTAAAATTCAACTTAAATTGACCCTAAACAACACCAAAACTGAGCTTAAATTGACCCAAAAATGACCCCAAAATGAGCTGAAATTGTCCCAAAATTGAGATTAAATCACCCCAAAAGTGACCCCAAAACTGAGCTGAAATTGACCCAAAACCGACCCCAAAATGATCTAAAAACTGACCAAAAACTGACCCAAAATGACCCAAAATTGACCCAAAATTGACCCAAATTGACCCAAAATGCCCCAAAATGCCCGTAAATTGAATTTCCTCCCCACCTGTGCTGCTGTTGGGGGTCTGGGGGTGCCCCCAGGGCGGGTCCCAGCTCGGGGGGGGTGTCCCAAAATGATCTAAAAACTGACCCAAAACTGACCAAAAACTGACCCAAAATGGCCAAAAATTGACCCAAAATGATCCAAAATTGACCCAAATTGCCCCAAAATGTCCCAAAATCCCTGTAAATTGACTTTTCTCCCCACCTGTGCTGTTGTTGGGGGTGTGGGGGTGCCCCCAGGGCGGGTCCCAGCTCAGGGGGGGGTCCCCAAAACCAACCCCAAACTGACCCAAAACTGACCCAAAATGACCCAAAACACCCAAAAATGACCCAAAATGCCCCAAAATGCCCGTAAATTGAATTTTCTCCCCACCTGTGCTGCTGTTGGGGGTCTGGGGGTGCCCCCAGGGTGGGTCCCAGCTCGGGGGGGGTCCCCAAAATGATCTAAAAACTGACCAAAAACTGACCCAAATTGACCCAAAATGACCCAAAACTGACCCAAAATGACCCAAAATTGCCCCAAAATGTCCCAAAATGCCCGTAAATTGAATTCCAACCCCACCTGTGCTGCTGTTGGGGGTCTGGGGGTGCCCCCAGGGCGGGTCCCAGCTCGGGGGGGGTGACCCCAAACCCACCTAAAAACTGACCCAAAATGACCCAAAATGACCCAAAATCCCCGTAAATTGAATTTTCTCCCCACCTGTGCTGCTGTTGGGGGTCTGGGGTGCCCCAGGGCGTCCCAGCTCGGGGGGTCCCCAAAATGATCTAAAAACTGACCAAAGCATTAGATCCCATTAGACATTCATGACCCCAATGACCCAAAATTGCCCAAAATGTCCCAAATGCCGCAAATTGAATTCACCCAAATGACCCAAAATTGACCCAAAATGTCCCAAAATGCCCGTAAATCTGAATTCCAACCCCACCTGTGCTGCTGTTGGGGGTCTGGGGGTGCCCAGACGGGTCCCAGCTTAGCAATGTCCCAATGCCCGGGATCACCCAATTACTTGACTCCCAGGAGACCCAGCCTAAAAGACTGACCCAAAATGACCCAAAATGACCCAAAATGACCCAAAATTGACCCAAAATGACCCAAAATTGACCCAAATTGCCCCAAAATTCCCGTAAATTGAATTCTAACCCCACCTGTGCTGCTGTTGGGGGTCTAGGGAGTGCCCCAGGGCGAGTCCCAGCTCCGGAGTGTCCCCAAACCCACCTAAAAACTGACCCAAAATGACCCAAAATGACCCAAAATGACCCAAAATTGACCCAAAATGCCCGTAAATTGAATTTCCTCCCCACCTGTGCTGCTGTTGGGGGTCTGGGGTGCCCCCAGGGCGGGTCCCAGCTCGGGGGGTCCCCAAAACCGACCCCAAACTGACCCAAAAACTGACCCAAAATGACCCAAAATTGACCCAAAATGTCCCAAAATGACCCAGAATGCCCCAAAATCCCCGTAAATTGAATTCCAACCCCACCTGTGCTGCTGTTGGGGGTCTGGGGGTGCCCCCAGGGCGGGTCCCAGCTCGGGGGGGGGTCCCCAAAACCGACCCCAAACTGACCCAAAATGGCCCAAAATTGACCCAAAATTGACCCAAAATTGACCCAAATTGCCCCAAAATGTCCCAAAATCCCTGTAAATTGACTTTTCTCCCCACCTGTGCTGTTGTTGGGGGTCTGGGGGTGCCCCCAGGGCGGGTCCCAGCTCGGGGGGGGTCCCCAAAACCAACCCCAAACTGACCCAAAACTGACCCAAAATGTCCCAAAATGCCCCAAAATGACCCAGAATGCCCCAAAATCCCCGTAAATTGAATTCCAACCCCACCTGTGCTGCTGTTGGGGGTCTGGGGTGCCCCAGGGCAGGTCCCAGCCTCAGAGGTCCCCAAACCCACCTAAAAACTGACCCAAAACTGACCCAAAATGACCCAAAATGCCCCAAAATTGACCCAAAATGCCCCAAAATGCCCGTAAATTGAATTCCCTCCCCACCTGTGCTGCTGTTGGGGGTCTGGGGGTGCCCCCAGGGCGGGTCCCAGCTCGGGGGGGGGTCCCCAAAACCGACCCCAAACCCACCTAAAAACTGACCCAAAATTGACCCAAAATTGACCCAAAATGACCCAAAACGACCCAAAATTGACCCAAAATGCCCCAAAATCCCTGTAAATTGAATTCCAACCCCACCTGTGCTGCTGTTGGGGGTCTGGGGGTGCCCCCAGGGCAGGTCCCAGCTCGGGGGGGGTCCCCAAAACCACCTAAAAACTGACCCAAAATGGTCAAAAATTGACTCAAAATTGACCAAAATTGACCCAAAATGCCCCAAAATGCCCGTAAATTGAATTTCCTCCCCACCTGTGCTGTTGTTCTCGATCTGGGGGTGCCCCCAGGGCGGGTCCCAGCTCGGGGGGTTCCTCGCTGAGCTCCAAGCGGAGCTCTCTGAGGACGGAGCCGTTCAGGGCTCGGCGGCGCCGCCGGGAGAGCTCCAGGGAGGCCGGGTCGGGACCCTCGGGGGCTGAAAAACACAAAATAAATCAAATTTAGGCTTTTTTTAAAAAATCTAGGGGATTTGGGGGTGTTTCCTAATTTTTTCTGATTTTTTTCCGATTTTTTTTGGAATTTTTTATATTTTTTTCAGAATTTTTTTGAATTTTTTTGAGTTTTTCTTGGATTTATTTTGAATTTTTTTGTGGGTTTAATTTGAATTTTTTTAATTTATTTTAAAATTTTTTTGGTGGATTTAAATGGGATTTTATTTATTTTGAATTTTTTAAATTTTATTTCAAATATTTTTGGTTTTTTTTACTTTTTTTATTTTCCGCCATTTTTGAATCTTTAAATTTTTTTGATTTTTTTAAATTTCTGAAATTCTTCAATTTCTTGGGTCTTTTTTGATTTTTTTTTAATTTTTCCTTAAAATTTTCCATTTCTTCACTTTATTTTTCTGGATTTTTAATTTTTTTTACATTTTTATTTTTTTTAGATTTTTTTAATTTCTTGGTTTGGTTTTTTAATTTATTAATTGGGGGGATTTGGGAGGTTTGGGGGGGTTTTAGGGGGGATTTTGGGAGGGGGGTTTGGAGGCCTCCAGGGAGGCCGGGTCGGGACCTTCAGGGGCTGAAAAACACCAAAAAAAATCAAATTTAGGGTTTTTTAAAAAAGTTTAGGGGGTTTGGGGGTGTTTTCTAATTTTTTTCTAATTTTTTTCTGATTTTTTTTGGAATTTTTTTAAATTTTTTTCAGAATTTTTTTGAATTTTTTTGAATTTTTCTCGGATTTATTTTGAATTTTTTTGTGGCTTTAATTCGATTTTTTTTATTTATTTCGAAATTTTTGCAGATTTATTTCAATTTTTTTCTTTATTTTAAAGTTTTTTTGGATTTATTTCAAATATTTTCAATTTTTTTTTTTATTTTCCTGAATTTTTTTATTCTAAGTTTTTTTAAATTTATTTCAAATATTTTTAATTTTTTTCTTTATTTTTCTGAATTTTTTTATTCTCAGTTTTTTTCCTGATTTAATTTTTTTTTTTGGAACTTCTTTAATTTCTGAGTATTTTTTGATTATTTAGGGAGTTTTTTTATTTTTTTTCATTAAGTTTTTTTATTTTTTGGTTTCCTTTTTTTTATTTATTAATGGGGGGGATTTGGGAGGTTTTGGGAGGGGTTTAGGGGGATTTTGGGAGGGAGGTTTGGAGGCCTCCAGGGAGGCTGAGTCGGGGCCCTCAGGGGCTAAAAAACACAAAATAAATTCAATTTTGGGTTTTTTTAAGGGTTTGGAGGGTTTGGGAATGTTTCCTAATTTTTTTTGATTTTTTTCCGATTTTTTTTGGAATTTTTTATATTTTTTTCAGAATTTTTTTGAATTTTTTTGAATTTTTCTTGGATTTATTTTGAATTTTTTGTGGGTTTAATTTGGATTTTTTTTATCTATTTTGAAATTTTTTGGTGGATTTAAATCGAATTTTCTTTATTTTAAATTTTTTAATTTTATTTCAAATATTTTTGGTTTTTTTTACTTTTTTTATTTTCCGCCATTTTTGAATCTTTAAATTTTTTTGATTTTTTTAAATTTCTGAAATTCTTTAATTTTTGGGGTCTTTTTTGATTTTTTTTTAATTTTTTTTTAAATTCTCCATTTCTTCACCTTATTTTTCTGGATTTTTAATTTTTCTTTTATTTTTACTTTCTTAGATTTTTTTATTTCTGGGTGTGTTTTTTTTATTTATTAATTGGGCCAGCTCGGGGCCTTCGGGGGCTGGAAAAGACAAAGAAAAAAAAGGTTTGGGGGATTTTGGGGTTTTTTTCTGAATTTTTTTACATTTTTTAGGAATTTTTACGAAGGTTTTCTTGGAGTTTTTTTCAGATTTTTTGGTTTTTTTTTAATTTTTTTGGGGGGGAATTTTCATTAGATTTTAAAAATGTAATTGGACTTTTAAAATATTTTTAAAATTTAATTTTTTATTTTATTCCAAATTCTTTCTTTATTTCTTTTCAATTGTTTCGGATTTATTTCGAATCCTTTTAGAAATCTTTTGAGGGTTTTTTGGGGGGTTTTTTGAGGTTTTTTTGAATTATCCTGGGTTTATTTTGATTATCTTGAAACTTTTAAAATATTGTCTGAAATTGTTTTCTTTGGGGCTATTTTGGGGTGATTTGGGGCTGTTTTGGGATGATTTGTGGTGATTTTTGGGCAATTTTTGTGATGATTTTGGGCAATTTTGGGGTGTTTTGGGGTGATTTTGGGGTGATTTGGGGCCATTTTAGGGTGATTTGTGATGATTTTGGGGTGTTTTGAGGGGTTTTGGGGCTATTTTGGGGTGATTTGGGGCTGTTTTGGGGTGATTTGGGGCAATTTTGGGGTGATTTTGGGGTGATTTGGGGCAATTTTTGTGATGATTTTGGGAAATTTTGGGGTGATTTGTGGTGATTTTGGGGTAATTTTGGGATGATTTGGGGCCATTTTGGGGTGATTTGGGGTGATTTTATGGTGTTTTAGGGTGATTTGGGGTGTTTTGAGGGGTTTTGAGGCCATTTTGGGGTGATTTGGGGTGATTTCGGGGTGATTTGTGATGATTTTGGGGAATTTTGGAGTGATTTGTGGTGATTTTGGGCCATTTTGGGGTGATTTTGGGGTGTTTTGAGGCTGTTTTGGGGTGATTTGTGATGATTTTGGGGTGTTTTAAGGGGTTTTGAGGCCATTTTGGGGTGATTTGTGGTGATTTTGGGGTGATTTGGGGCCATTTTGGAGTGATTTGGGGTGATTTTGGGGTGATTTTGGGCCATTTTGGGGTGATTTGTGGTGATTTTGGGGTCTTCTGAGGCCATTTTGGGGTGATTTGTGGTGATTTATGGCCATTTTGGGGTGATTTGGGGTGATTTTGGGGTGTTTTGAGGGGTTTTGGGGCCATTTTGGGGTGATTTGGGGTGATTTTGGGGTGATTTGGGGTGATTTTGGGGTGATTTTGGGGTGTTTTGAGGTCATTCTGGGGTGATTTGGGGTGATTTTGGGGTGTTTTGAGGGGTTTTGGGGCCATTTTGGGGTGATTTGGGGTGATTTTGGGGTGATTTGGGGCCATTTTGGGGTGATTTGGGGACATTTTGGGGTAATTTTGGGGTGATTTGGGGCCATTTTGGGGTGATTTTGGGGTGTTTTGAGGGGTTTTGAGTCTATTTTGGGGTGATTTGTGGTGATTTTGGGGGTCTCTCTCACCGTAGCTGACGGGCACCAGTTTGGGGGGGCGGTACCGGCCCCGCCCCCCGCCCAGCCCGGGGGCTTTGGCTCCGCCCCCTCCCTCAGGCTCCTCCCCTTCCTCTTCCTCCTCCTCCTAAAAAAAAAAAGAGGGCGTGGCAACATCAGGCCCCGCCCACCTCAAAACCACGCCCATCGAACCACGCCCACCCATTTAAGCCCCGCCCCTTTCTAAGCCCAGTGACCCCTGGAAGCCCCACCCACAATTAAGCCCCACCCACTTCCCCCCAAGCCACACCCCCTGTTGAAGCCACACCCCCTTCCCCTTAGGCCACACCTCCTGTTTAAGCCACACCCCCTTTAGGCCACACCCAACATGCTTAAGCCCCGCCCCTTTTTAATTGTGACCTAAGCCACACCCACAAATTAAGCCCCACCCCCTTACCTTCAAGCCACACCCCTGCTTAAACCACACCCCTGCTTAAACCACACCCCCTGATTAAACCACACCCCCTGATTAAGCCACACCCAGCCCTTAAAGCCACACCCCTCCCCTCCAGGCCACACCCCTTTAAGCCACACCCCCACATTTTAAGCCACTCCCACTGCTCTTAAAGCCACGCCCCTTTAACGAACCACACCCATTTAAGCCCCACCCACCGGGCTAAAAAGCCACGCCCCTTTATGCCCCACCCTGTTAAGCCCCGCCTACCTGGGCGGCCATGTTGGAAGGGGCGGGGCGGAAGCTCAGGGGGTCGTCGGGGCCTGTTTTGATTGACAGGGGTCAGTCAGAGGGGGAGGGGCTTGAGGGGTGTGGGTGGGGTTTAAAGGTGGTGGGTGGGGTTTAAGGAATGTGGTGGGGTTTAAGGGAGTGGGTGGGGTTTAAGAGTGGTGGGTGGGGTTTAAGGAATATGGGTGGAGTTTTGTAGGAGTGGGTGGGGTTTAAGGGCAGTGGGTGGGGTTTAAAGGTGGTGGGTGGGGTTTAATGGCTGTGGGTGGGGTTTAAGGGTTGTGGGAGGGGTTTGAGGGTTGTGGGTGGGGTTTAAGGATTGTAGGTGGGGTTTAAGGAATGTGGGTGGAGTTTTGTAGGAGTGGGTGGGGTTTAAGGGTGGTGGGTGGGGTTTAAGGGTGGTGGGTGGGGTTTAAGAGCAGTGGGTGTGGCTTGAAGGTTGTGGGTGAGGTTTAAGGGCTGTGGGTGGGGTTTAAGGGTTGTAGGTGGGGTTTAAGGAATGTGGGTGGAGTTTTGTAGGAGTGGGTGGGGTTTAAGGGTGGTGGGTGGGGTTTAAGGGTTGTAGGTGGGGTTTAAGGAATGTGGGTGGAGTTTTGTAGGAGTGGGCGTGGTTTAAGTGTTGTGGGTGGGGTTTAAAGGTTGTGGGTGGGATTTAAGGGTGGTGGGTGGGGCTTAAGTGTTGTGGGTGGGATTTAAGGGTGGTGGGTGGGGTTTAAGGGCTGTGGGTGGGGTTTAAGGGCTGTGGGTGAGGTTTAAGGGTTGTGGGTGGGGTTTAAGGGGTGTGGGTGGGGTTTAAGGGCTGTGGGTGGGGTTTAAGGGTTGTGGGTGGGGTTTAAGGAATGTGGGTGGGGTTTAAAGATTGTGGAGTGGGAGTTTAAGGGGTGTGGGTGGGGTTTAAGGGTGGTGGGCGGCGTTTAAGGGCTGTGGGAGGGTTTAAGAGTTGTGGGTGGGGTTTAAGGATTGTGGGTGGGGCTTAAGGGTTGTGGGTGGGGTTTAAGCATTGTGGGTGGGGTTTAATGATTGTGGGTGGGGGTTTAGGGTGGTGGGTGGGGTTTAAGGGTGGTGGGTGTGGTTTAAGAGCTGTGGGTGGGGTTTAAGAGTGGTGAGTGGGGCTTAAGAGTTGTGGGTGGGGTTTAAGCATTGTGGGTGGGGTTTAAGGGTTGTGGGTGGGGTTTAAGGGTGGTGGGTGGGGCTTAAGAATTGTGGGTGGGGTCTAAGGGTTGTGGGAGGGGTTTCAAGCTTGTGGGTGGGGCTTAAATGTTGTGGGTGGGGTTTAAGGATTGTGGGTGGGGTTTAAGGGTTGTGGGTGGGGCTTAAGTGTTGTGGGTGGGGTTTAAGGGATTGTGGGCGGGGCTCAAGGCTCATAGGTCAGGTTTAAGGGGTGTGGGCGGGGCTTAACTGACCCCGCCCCCCCTGGGCCGCCGCCCGCAGCAGCTTCTCCAGTTGGTACTTGAGGCCCAGCTCGAGGGGGCGGAGCTTCTCCAGCACCTGCCGGAGGGGCGGGGCTTAACTGGAGGGGGAGGGGCCAGGATGCCCCAAAATCCCCCTCAGAGACCCCCAAAAACCCCTCAGGGACCCCAAAACCTCCTCAGTGACACCAAAACCCCCTCAGGGACTCCAAAATTCACCTCAGGGACCCCCAAAAACCCCCAAAGGGATCCCAAAAACCCTCCCAGGGACCCCCCAAAACCCCTTCAGGGTCCCAAAACCCCTCAGGGACCCCCAAAACTCCCTCAGGGACCCCAAAAACCCTCCCAGGGACCCCAAAAACCCTCCCAGGGACCCCAAAATCCCCTCAGGGACCCCAGAAACCCTTTGGGACCCC